GTTTTAAGTATGGGTGGGTTAGTGGTATCTAGTGATAGTGTTGTTATGATTTTGATTTTTTAAGATTTTCTGGGTAATAGCAGTTTTTTTTAGGTTCTGTTTTATAATAATGTAGGTTGTCAGGAAGGTGCAATGAGTACTGTTTCTACTAATCGTATTGGTGATTTTAGTGTTTTTTTCGTTTTGTTTTCTTTAGGTAGTTTTTCTTATCAGTTTTTTAATTCGTTGATTGTTTTTATATTACTTATCTCTGCTTTTATTAAGGGTGGACAGTATCCTTCTGGTAGTTGATTACCTAAGGCTATGACTGCTCCAACTCCTGTAAGTTGTTTGGTTCATAGCAGTACGTTAGTTCCTGCTAGGGTAATATTAATAGAGGGGTATTTATATGTTTCTTTGAATTCTGATGTTTTGTTTTTTTATGTAGGATTTTTTACTGTAATATTTTCTGAGGTATGTTCTTTGATTGAAGAAGATGCTAAGAAGATTGTTGCATTGAGTACTATATCTCAGATTTTTATGTATTAGCAGAGGGTTACATTATCTTTCTTATGTGCATATAATTGGTCATTATTTTTTTAAGAGGTTGTTATTTATACAAATAGGTTATTTATTTTTTATTAATTTTGGTCAGCAGGATTATCGCATTATTCACGTTTTGATATTTGTACTCCTTTATTGGTCAGTTGCAAATTTGTTTTCCTGTTGTCAGTTTGTGTGGCTTATTATTTACTAGTGGCTATTGTAGAAAGTAATATTTTGTCTTGTTTTTACTATGGTTCTTTTGGTTTTTGATATTTATGTAACTTCTTGTTACTGTTATCGTATATTGTTTTTGCTTCGTATTGATTCCTTAGGTTTTGATTATATTGGTTTTTCTAGTAAATTATTTTATTGTTCTTGGTTTTGTTTTCTATTGTTTTTATATTTTGGTGGATCATTAGTTTTATTTCTTTTCCAGTAGTTTTAAATCGTTTTGAATTTTTGGTTGTTTATCTATATGTTTCTTTTTATCTTTTGTTTTTTAACTATTCTTTTTTGGAATTTAAAAATTAAATTTTTTATAGACTATTATTATTCTCGATACGTCTATAAGATGATTCCTAGATTATTTTGATAATTTCATTTTTGGATTTAACTATTTTCTTTTTTTGGAATTGTTCGTTTTTATCTTTTGTCATCTTTCGTTTCGAAGCTATTAATTATTATGTTGGTGTTCTAGTTGTTTTCTTCTTTTCTTTTGTTTTTTATAATTTTTGTAATATTAGTATAAATTTGTTAATTATTTTTAATTTTCGATAAAAAGAATTGTGTATTATAAACAAGGGTTTGTTAGTCTTCTAAGCTAATTTTGACGTTTTTCACTTATTTTATGATATTTTTTGTATTTGTTTTTGACTTTTTGTATTTTAGATTGGGTTGTTTGGTGGAGGAATTTTGTTATTTCTACATTTGTTTTGATTTTTTCTGATTTTTAATGATAAAAATAGTGATGGCTAGATTAGCTATTATATTATTCAGGAAACTTGTGGTTATTATTTTTTTGATTTTTGATAACTGGAAGTTATAGTCGTCTTTTTTTCTTTATGTTGAAATCTGTTGTAGCCCTATTTCATTTTTGGTTATTTAGTATGTTAAATGAAATAAGTGATTAGTCTGTTTTATGATTTTTAACTTTGCAAAAAATTGGTGTATTTTGTTGTTTTGGTTAATTTTTGTGATGATTATTTTTATTTATTAATATGGTTGTTTGTTATTTGTAATTTTTTTTATTGCTGAGGTGTCAGGATATGTTGGTTATTAGCTCTACTGAATCTTTTAATTAATTACTACTTATTGGTGAATTTTCTTTTAATGAATTTTTTGTTTTGTTTTGTTTTTTATTATTTTATTATGTTTTTGTTAACCTCTTATGTTTATAATTCTGATTTTGGATCTTATATGTCTGAAATGGCTATAGTTTTTTTGTATATTTCTATAAGTGTTACTTCTTTTTTAAAGGTTTTGTTATTAGTGGGACCTGGTTATTATGTTAGTCTTTTGTTTTTGTTGTTGTTGTTGTTGTTGTTAATTATATGTTTGATATCTTTGGGAATGAGTTATTTTTTTCTATGCTTAGATATAATTACGGTTTAAAATATTATTATTCGCTTTTACTAATTTACATTCTGTGTCAAAACAAGTTGTTTGGTATCATTTTAGTACTTAGTTCTGTTTTTTTGTTGATGATCCTTATTTGGCCTGATAGTTATTATGCTATTTTCAATAATATTTTATATTGTTTTGTGCTATGTTTTCTGTGATATTTCTTTTGGTTAACTTTAGCTGGCCATTACCCTACAGATTATTCTTTTAATTTCTTTAGTACTTTTTTCGTTAGATTGGTAAATCTTTTTTCTTATAAACTTTTTGGTTTTATTTCTATTATAATAAGTATAGTAATTTTAGAAGTTACTAATTATGCAATACTATTTTTTATTCAAGTTTCGTAAATTTCATAAGATGAGGCATAGTTATTATCCTTTTATGTTAAGCACAGGTACACTTTAGCATAGGTACAGGATAATAATACATAATTCAAAAAATAAAAAGTTGGCACTATTTATAAATATAGGGTTATTTTATTCTTCTTTTATACTTTTCTTTTATGGGTTAATGATGTTATTTTAGAAGATATTAGTGGCCAATATTCTTCTTTTTGATTACCGTATATTTAAGCAAGAATTTTATTTATTTTTATTTGGTGAATTAACTTTATTTTTTGAACTTTTTTGGATTCTTTATGCCCGCTTACTTGACTGGGCGGATGTTGACAACCTGTCAGTATTTTGTCTTCAGATTATTCAGGAATTAATGGTACTGCCAGTTTATTTTTGATGATAAATAGTCACGTTTTAAAATATTCTTCGTCGTTGTTTATGTTTAATTGTGAGCTTTTATTATTGATTTGTATTTTTATCGGGGGGTGGATTTTATGTTTTCAATATTATGAATATAGCCATAATTGTTTTGTTATGAACGATAGTATTTATAGTAGTATGTTTTTATATGGGAATCGGTTTACATGGTTGTCATGTTTTTATCGGGGTTTTTATTATTATTAATTTTTTTCGTATTAAATTGTTTTATTTTAATTGGTATCATATTCAAGCTTTTGATATATCTGCTGATTATTGACGGTTTTTAGAGTGGATATGAGGGTTTATATTTTGTATGTTTCACAAAAAATTTTTTCAAGCATTTCAAATAAATAAGGTTGTTTATATTTTTCTTATAAAAAGCTATAAGTGATATTTATACTTTCCGGTAAAAAGCTATAAATGATATTTATACTTTCTGATAAAAAGCTGTTTTCCATGGCGTAATGAATAAAATGATAACAATAAATTATGTGATTTCTATTTTTGTATAAGTTGTTGGTTATTTTCGCTATCAATTCTAATTTCTCCTTGTTAAATTTTTTAAAATTCAATTTTAATTCATTATCAAAATTTCACCCAAATCGGTGAACAAATAAATAATCCTTTTACTATTCAACCAATAAATAGAGAGAAAGAGAAAATAAATTAACCTTTGGTGGAAGGATATAATGGATATACACAAATACCAAATCACAATAAACAGCCAATGAACAAATCGAAATGTTTGCAAATATTTTTCAACCGAAAGTTTCTTACCGAACAATTCTTCATTTTTATCCTATGTGATTTTTAAATTTTACCAAACAATTGTTCCTATATTATTCTCACTATTTTTTCAATCTTTCGTTTATCTTAATTTTTCTTTCATTCAAAAAGCTATTTGCCAAATATATTAATTGTTAAGCTTAGGATACTTTGATTCCCTAAAATAATTTGATGAAATAAATTTCACATTTTTCCACTTTCTTTTACAACTTAGTTACTTCATCTCACTTGAAAGTCAACCATTAAAAAAATGAAATCTGCATATTTGCTGGAAGATACATTACTTTTCGATCTTATTGCTTAATTTTATCCTCAACCAATTGCTATTTGAACTGACCGCCGCTGTACAGAAGTTGTCGTTCTTTTTAAATTCTATGATTACAATAGAAGCAATATTTCGTGCACTGTTCATTTTGCTCATCGATGAAATAATTTTATGATTAGTATAACAATTGTAAGAATATTAGGTTTTCGAGAAAAGTGAATAGCATGCAAGTCGACCTCTAAAATAGTTCACAGATTTCAGGATTTGGAATTTTACTGATAACTATTCGATATTTCATGCGATATAGTTTAATGGATAAATTTGCAGCTTTTTGCTTTTCATTTTTAACTTTCATTTCTCATGGTAATTCATTTTGCTGTTTTAACTGTTCATTATCAGATAGAATAAATTTTCAACTCTTCATTTATTACATCAAAGTTTTATTCCTGACGATGAGCTATTATAATTTATTTTCCAAACTGAACAAAGAGAAACAAAGAATTAATTTTAATATACACCGGTATATAATAAAAATAAATCAGTTTATATCACCGGAAACAATCTATATAGTTCTATATAGATCTATATAGTCTCAATCTATATAGTTTTTTTCAGTGGATTTTCTGACAGAATGATAATTTATTTTCTCATTATCATACTTATCTAATTACATTCTAATCGTCTTTATATATATTCGTCATTTATAGCATCTACGAATGATATTTTGATTAGAAATGAATTATTATTAAAATCAAATTTCAATAACAATTCTTTACCTAAAAAAATTGACGCAATTGGATGTGCTACCGGCGCTAATGATATTGTAAGTTTAATAAAATTAATGCGATATATTCAATAAATAAACAAAGAAAAGATATATAGAAATGATCAAAATGTGACTATAAATTTAAATTATATTAAACGAATTCACTTTTCTAAATTTGGTAAGGTTTTTTGTTTTAGTGAAATATCACTAACGAAGGAAGTGATTTAGATGTGTAATAATAAATGTTAAACCTATCTTGTATTATTTAATGCAGTTAAAATCGATGAACACAACAGTGAATCCATGTGATGACTTTTTCCAATATGCTTGTGGAGGATGGATTCATAAAAATCCGATACCTGATGGTGAACTTGAATACGGACCGTTTATAATAGCTGGTAATGAAGTGATAATTAAATTGAAAGGTGAATGTGTGTTCAGTGTTATAATAAAATTATAGTTTAGAAGTGTCATCTTTGGTTTGTTATCTCTCTTCAAATTATTCACATTTAAATAAAAAATCTCAGAAAATGAAATTAAATAGAACGGTTCCCGAAAATGTAATTAAATAAAAAATCCTGAAATTAAGTAAGCTATAATATCAATAATTTGCAAAAAATTTTGATTGTTTTTCATTCAAAAAAAATATTTTAATGGCATTTTATCTGAGTGATATGAAAAATTGGATGGAGATGAAACGATATGTACAACTTTGTTTAATCAGTTTAATCAGTTTAATCAGTCTCTTTAGAAGTGTTTTCATTTTCTAGAATTACTGGAATCAAATAAAACGATAACACCGAAATGTCTTGACATGCCTCGTATTCTTTACAAAAAATGTATGAGTGCTGATGAACGTGAAGAAATAGAAACTGAGTATGTTTTTTCTTCATTTTTTAAAAATGTAACACTAACTTAGGGGAATGTTATAAGATGTGGCTAAAATAAATTAATAAATAATCATATAATTTGATATATGATTCACACAAATTTATTGGATTTATTTTTAGGCAATTAATCGACATGTACCGTAAAATTGGTAGTTGGCCATTGCTTGAAGAAGATTGGGATAGTTGCACGTTTGACATTACATATATGTTAACATTAATAGCTCACACTCTTTCTAATTCAGTCTTATTCAAATTTGATATTACTGCTGATATCAAAAATAACACAATTAATAGTTTATATGTAAGGATAATATAAATTTAATCGATAATTTTTTACAGTATATTATAAATATTTGAAATTTTCAAAATTTTAGGATTTTAAAAAAATGAAGAATAAAGAAAATGATATAAATCGTTTACTATGTCGTATTAATAGCTCCTGTATGTTCAGCATTTTCGAAATTTTTAAATAATATAGCTCAATTAATATATGAAATTAGTTTTTTAAATGGTCACATAATAACATGGGAATGATTTATTTGTTTTTTTTTAAATTATAAATACTTCTTGAGCAATTTCCAGATAGAACAAACTAATTTCGGTATTGGAAGTCGCGTTTATCGTCGTTTAAATCGAACAAACTTCGCGGAGTATCTAAATGCATATAAAGAATACCGATTGAACGCCTTGAAATTGGTATTAAGCGGAGCAAACATTAGCTATAATGTATCACAGCTCGAAACTGCTATTAACGATGTGATAGCATTTGAAATGGAAATTACCAAGGTGTTATTTTACGTTTATTTTCAATTTAAATTCCGCCACATATGCTAAGAATGGAAAGTTAAGTTCTCGAAACAAAATAAAAGCAATATAGACATCGCTGACAAGTGATCTAAAATCATTCAAATCGACATTAGCGTAATTAATTCAAACACCTCATAATTGATTACTTTCTTTTTAAAGCAGACCTGCGATATGATATCGGTGATTAGAATCGAAAGAATTATGAAAGAATTCTGACTATGATAAATAAGCTTAATGTAAACAAATACAATCATATTTCGAGATATTTTTTCATTATCAGGCAATTGAACTTTAACCTGATATATGAAATTGTAATATTATAATGCAAATAAGGATCCTGTGGAATTTCACCAGTTACTTATTAATCCAGAAATAAATTTTAGGAATAAATATTAAAAAAAAGTGTATTTCACCAAGAAACATGAAAACCTCTGGTTGAAAATTTTAATTTTAGTTCATGGAACCGGAAAAAAATATGCAACATAGCAGCTCACTTTTCTACAATAAAAGAATTATTGCCGATCTATACACATTGTGTCCACAGGTTATCCTTTAATTTTATAATTTCTTTAATTTACCTTTACATGTGAAGGTCATTAATATTTTACCTGTTGCATTCTTTTTTTTTTTATTTTCAAGATGTAAATGAAATTAAAAATTTGAAGCAAATTACGACAAAATGAACAAATGAAATTGTGATTGTTTAATTATTCCATGCTATTACTTCAAATGGAATTCATTCAAAATTTTATCTTTCAGATTGATTGGCTCAAACTTATATTCTGTTTAGTGCCACCTTCAGTACGTGATATTATTGATAATAACACGGTTATTATAATTCGAAATATCGGGTATTTTAGAAATTTATCAAATCTATTGGGCAAAACCAGCAATCGTATCGTTGCTAATTGTATTTTTTTGCAAACAATAGATGTTTGGAGTGCGCTATTAGGAAAAGCATTTGAGAATAACTTAGAGGTAATTTAATTAATAGGGAATGGTTTTTGTTTTCCACATGTAAACTAAATTTGATGAATAAATTATACTTATAAATTTTTCATTATTCCTTTTCTCTTTGCTTTGTTATTATTAACAATAACATTTCCATTATGACAGTCAGACTTAATTTATAAAAAGAAAATTAAAAAATTGTTTGAAAAAGTTTATTATAATATGATACTGTAATGTGTTGAAAGTACTTTGATATAATTTATAAATTAATGTTTTCAGTTTTTTATTTTATATTTTTCTTCTGCAGTTTTTTAATAACTTTCTTTAATACAGAAGTTAACAGATGTATTGAACGACATAAAAATCATAATACCACGTTGGAAAGGATGTGTTGAAGTAACGGAAACATTATTAAAGCATGCTACCAGTGCATTGTATGTTCGGAAGCATTTTGATCCAGATATACGAAAGGATGTTATGGTATTATTTCATACAGAAAATTTCAATCGATCGATTTCTTTAGAATTATTTAATAATTAAAAACACAAATTAAACTTTTTAATCAGCTAGAAATACTTTCATTTTTCGAAAAAGAATTGATCAAATTTTGGGAATGTGTAATAGTAAAATTTTTTTGAAATATTTTCGATATAGTTGCATATATTTATATATACAGTTATCATATATATGGTTAAAGCTTTTACAGAAAATTTCATACTAATCTTCTGGATTATTTAGGATATCCTGGAAGGAATTCGGGAAGCACTTCAAGATAATATTGCAGAAATAGACTGGATGGATAACGATACCAAAAATGCTGCTTTGCAGAAGGTCATTACAAATTAATCTTAAAAATTACAACGGTATTCCTAATAGGAATTTTTTTATTGAAGATTTTTAATGGGAATTTTTGAAAACTTCTACTTTCAAATTTTATCGTTTAAAATATGAATATGATGATTACATAAACATAAAATATGTTCCGTAAATTATTGTATAAAATAGAAGAATTTGTTCGTCCCATTTACCACAGCCCAATAACGAATTAGGCTCCAATGGCTAAGTTAGGATAAGTAATTGAAACTGTCACATCAAAATTAATGCATTATAACACACATCACATAGCACACACCACAATTAGTTTACTGTACTATTAATTTCAGTTAATTTTTAGGCTGCTGCAATGATCAGTAAAGTTGGTTACGATGATATGTTTCTGAATGATACGGCATTAACTGAATATTACGAAAAGGTTGAAGTACAATTCTTACTAATATTTATAATAAAAAGATCAAATAAATTGATCATTGATATAAACATTTAAATCCAATAATAAAAAAAAGCATATTATCATTTTATCAGCTTATCAGATGTTTCGAATTAGGAATTCTTAATAGTAATTTGAAGAATAATACGAACAATTGGTATTCACTCCAAGAAATCGAATACAATGGAAAAGTAGGATTTTTTAGAAAAAATAAATAAAACGAGCAATTAAGAAATTGTTGATTGCTACTGAAGAAAAATTCACTGAAATAAATTTGATAATTGTAATTATTTCATTTTAGATTTATTTTTCATCCAATTTTATTTCAACCATCTGCACCATATTTTCTTATTTTCCAGATCTATGGAATATATCTAAACAAACATATCCAGTAGCAAGATATCAGGAAATCACTCTTTTCAGTTAAACATAACGCAAGAAGATAGCTATTTTAAAGCTGTATTGAAAATAGCAACATGGGAAGTAGAAAAAGATTTTTTAAATCTGAAAAAACCGTTCGACAGATACGAATTTTTCCAAACCGCTTCTACAGTTAACGCATATCATGAGTTTTTAACGAATGCAGTTTGTAAGTTTCATTTATTATTGTATTTGTATCTTTTTCTTAACTCTTTTTTTCTTTAAAAATAGGCGTTAATGAATATTTAATCGTTTTCAAAATTCTATTTTAAATATATAATTTCTGCTAAATATTTCAGCAGTACCGGCTGCTTTCCTCACACCGCCATTTTTCAATCGTAACTATCCAAAGTTAGTGATTTCTTTTTGCCTATAAATATTTTGTTTGATTCGACTTTGCTTCCTCATTGATTTTCATGTTTTAATGAGCAATTCCATATTAATAATGCTCCTATTTTTTTGCACATAAGTAATTTATTTCATTTATCGATTGATTATTATTTCAAATTAATCGAATTAGTCATTCTTATATCGGTAGAAGTGATAAAAGTAATGATAAAAGCGTTCAAATGAGTCCTTTAGGCGAATTTTGTCCAACATTTTATTTAAATTCTAATTACACTATTCGCTATTAATCGATTATAATCGCGTTTTAAAGAACGGCAAACTATGGTTCGTTGGGTGCGGTGATAGGCCACGAATTAACTCATGGCTTTGATAATTCTGGTTTGCTTCTTCCTTCATTTTAAATTTTGATATGTTAATCTTAATAAAAATCTGATAAATTTTGTCATAATAGCAAAAATTGCATTTGAATAATTTTTACCGAAGCATTTATTTAATAAATAGATTCGGCTGTCAGAAAAATGCATGGCTATTAACAAACATTACTTTATCAACGTTGTTTTCATCAAATGAGATTAACCTTTTAAAACGCAAATATTTTTTGCTATGAAAAAATGCGTGCTATTTCATAGATTTCATTTAGTATTTCATAGGAAAGAATAATTTAAAATCGATGATGTATTATTGGAAGCTTTCTTCCATACTTCAATTTCATTTCAGAGATTAAATAACAATTAAATCAGTCCCTTTTTGAAAACTTTAGTAAACTTATCTAAAACAACCTATGATGACATTACTTTTATGCTTTATTATTGGTTTATTATCAAAGATTATTTTCCATGCATATTTTTGATACGATTAATTGATTTCAGGCAGTCTTTATGATATGAATGGTAATTTGAAAAATTGGTGGAGCGAAGAATCATACGAGAATTTTAAAAATAAAACACAATGTTTCGTTGAGCAGTACGAATCCTTCAAAGTGCCAAACATGGAGTTTAAGGTAAAAAACATCAAAATGAATAATAATACATCCATATATCTCACTGTGAATTTCATTACCATTAAAAACATTTATTAAGTAATTCCATGGGTAGAGGAATGTTTAGATTTACTGCTTATAGAAGTATTGTGATAGGATAACTTTAACCTATCAGAATTCCCATAAAAATACGACG